TACTTCGTGGAGTATTAGGGGAAAATCAGTTACGGATATAACGTTTTAGTAGTTATTGTTAGTTATTTATACTATTTCTATAAATAAATAGTTTAAGGTAAGATATTGAAGTGTAGTGGTAAGACGGTAAAAAAATGGGGTAGGAATTTTAATTGTTTGGTGGTGGTTGAGTTTCCGTTGAAGAAGTTGGGGTCTCGTCTTGTTAGCGGTATCCGACCGCGGAAATTGTTTCGGAAATAATGAGGAAATTCTTCGCGCTCGACGGAGGCCACGGGAATTCCGGTTCGATTTTCCCAGGGAATTCGCGACTTTCCTCCGTTCCGATTTTCCACGGAACAAATAGTGAAATAAAAAAATAACTGTTTTGCGAAAAGTTTAGTGCAACCTGTGCAGCTCAATCCGTGTTGCAACAAAACCAAAAAAAAAGTAGAGATATAAGAAAGAATGGAGAAGTTTATATATATATATATATATATATATAAGAATACAAAAGGGTGGAGGAAAAGGGCGAGTGTTTTATGCGCTCCGCTTTTAAGCAACTAATGCAGTGAGCTTTCAAAAGGATCCTCCGCGCTATTATTCGAGTGTGTGTTTCATCCCTGTCCCGGAGGGGAGCCACCAAAAACGCCCTTTGCGTTTCAGTTGTTTTTTTTTTGCTCTCTTTCTCTCTCTCTATCTCTTCTTTCCTCTCTACTGTATATGCTGTAGGTGTGTTGTGTTCGCGGCACGATTTTAATGGGGTTTCCTGTCATCGGTAATAAAAAAATATTACGGTCGGCTTTAATTAAAAATTCGACGCTCGCACAGGGCGAAAAATAAAAAAATATATATATGAGAGTAACGTTCAAACATTGAAAGCTTTTTTTTGGAGGGTCTCATATGAAGGGCGGAAATAAATCCTAATTTTCACTGGATATTGCAAATCTTCGTTATGCGCGCAACGCATACATCTATTATTTCAACATCAACTCAGAATTTTGTTCAATTTTTTAACAATTTTTTTTTAATTAAACATACACTAATAGTGTAGTTTTCATATAATTAAATAAAAAACTAAAATCTTTCTTTCAAATTTGACCTTATTTAATTTATAAAATTTCAAATCACAATAAATTTATTATTGTTTCAAAGCAATTTGATTTATTTTTCTAGAATTTGACAAAGTTTTGATTCTAACTTATTTTGGTGTAAAGTTCCAATGTAATTTAAAAAAATGATGAATGTAAAATCGTAATAATTATAAGCAATTAAAAAATATAGAGAATTTTGCAATATTTATACAAATTTTGGTTGAAAATTGTATTGATTCTGTTTAATAACATTCATTTTGTAATTCTATGATTCTATGATAAATAATGACCTAATTTTTCAAAAATTAATAAGATGTTATATTAATTAGCATTAATAATAATTGTATAGTAAATAAAAGTTAAAAAATCTTCAATAAAAATAAAAGTTTGTAAAGTTATGTAATAAGTAAAAAAAAAATCAAGTTGTTGTATTTCATTTTGACAGGTGATTAATATTTTTTGTTTGTTTGTTTTCAGTTAGACAGATTTAAGGAACCTCCGGCCTTCGGGCCAATGTGTGATCTTCTCTGGTCAGATCCTCTAGAGGATTTTGGCAACGAAAGTAACGCGGAACACTTCTCACACAATTCCGTAAGAGGCTGCTCATATTTCTACAGGTGAGTACAAACGATGCACGTCTCATATCATCACAACGCCCTTGATTTTTCTTCGAGGGATGGTGCGGCCTTTTGACTGCACAAAATAAGTAGTAGTTTTTTTGGAAAACTTACAATCGAGTTTCGCTCCGATCGATTACCTTCACTGATCGAATCCTCCTTTTGTTACAGCTACGCTGCCTGTTGCGACTTCCTTCAGAATAATAATCTTCTATCAATAATTAGGGCACACGAAGCACAAGATGCGGGGTAAGTTTTCTGCAAACTTTGCACAACTATAAGTATAACTACCAACTTGTACTTCTTAAGGGTGAGAATGTATATGTGTATGTACGTGGGGTCTAACAAAAGTTTGCTTAGTTGGCTGAAAAAAAAAACAATTTTATTTTAATATATTTAATTTTCATCCTTTCGTAATTTCTCAACATAATTTCCATTTATTTTTGCCTTCACAAGGGCTACATTTGTATCGTCGGTGAAAGATTTCGGACGACCATCAGGAGATTTGTCCTCAACAGAAATATACCCTGTTTGGAATCTTCGAAACTACTTGGAAATAGTCATAAGGGATGATGCATTCATTGGTATTGGTATTTTGGTATTCCTTGAAAATTTGCATAGGTTTGAATTGACGTCGAAATCCGTAGAGAATGGCAGCAAAACATTGCATTTTATCCTATCCATTCTAACCGAAATTCTTGAAATTTGACATGATATATCGTTAGACTTTAACAAATTGAGAAACAACTTTTGTTTTGTTTTTCAGAATCAAATGTATTAACGCCAACTAAGCGAACTTTTGTTACACCCCACCTATGTGTCGGAAATCGATAAGCGTAGAGCGATTTGCGATTGTTTTCATAACGTTCCAAGGCTTTGCGAGTTTATATTTTATTTTTGTAAACTCTTTATCGCATCATCTCCGACTTGGCGTGCGGCCCTTTCGCCGATTACCATTTTATAATATTAAATAGGGGAAATAAATTCCGCCTGCAAACCGACAGAAAGCAATAGGGGGAAAAAAAAATAATTATGTAACTAAGAAAAGCTTAATCACTCCGCAATGCAATACCAACACCGACGTTGAATTCCGTGCACAAAACGCTATCGATTTTGTAGCCTTATAAACGCTACAACAATTATTCATATTTATTTCAATTCCACAATATAAATTCTTTATAATATCCATAACGAATTATTCACATTTAATTTAATTTTGCAAACTTTTCCTAAATTCCAGCAATCAACATTTTTTTAGTGTACAAACACCATTTTTTAAATTATATAATTAGATTGCAAACTTTTCGCAATTTCCTCTCGCGCGTATTTTATTTATTAATTTAGTTCTTCACTGTATTCTGTTTTTTTTGCTGATGTTGCGAGAAACTCGTTTCGTGGGTTTCGCGTTAATTTTCAGCGAGTTTTCGGCGCCAAAAACGAATTGCAAATTAAATGGAGCCCGACGGTAACCGCCCTCCACTTCAGCGCTGGAAATTAAGCGTCTCGCTGAAAATGAGTCGAGCAGAAATTTATTTTCCTCGATGAAAACTTCGCAGCGTGAAAATGTAGATAACTTTACATTTTAATGCAATTACACGGATGCGCTTTTATTATAATCATAATAAATGTGCGGAAAATTTGAATATTAATCTATAATTTTGAAAAATTAAGGAAATTGCTTTCATGAAATATTGAAATTATTATAATATTGCCAGAAATTGACAAATTATATATTATTTATAATGAATGTATTCAAATTCAGGATTATTTCAGAAGTGTTTTTTTTTAATATTTATATTTTCTTAAGGGTTTTAGTAGAGATGTTGAATATTGGATTGTAATTACGAAAGGGATTATGTTCGGGATTAAGTTGTTCTCCCTGAAATGAAACACGAAACTTTTCTTCGTTGTTAGCGAGAAGCGATAAAAAGTCTTGGCTTTTCATTGAATTTTAACGTAAATAAATTATTTTATAATTAATTGTAAAGAACTCAAACATTTTGTTGTTATTTGAAAGAAAGTTTTCTTTGTTTGTTGTATACAAAACATTTTTTTAAAATTATTTTATGTAATCATCCATAATGAATATTGATAATTGGGATAATTGGAAAGGGATGACGATAAATTGGTGGAAAATGTGTTTGGAAATTTGGTGAAATGTTTCGAATAATTGGTAGTGTTTTAGTTGTGAGTTGGGTGAAGTAACGTGTGCATGTATTGATCCTGGGGTTTCGGGGTGTATTGTGCGAGAGGTGAAGTGGGGTGGAGAGCAAAGAGAGATGTAAAGTGAGTGAATGAGAGAGAGAGAGAAGCGCGGCTGTGTGGGAAATGCGTTTACTTTGGGTGGAAGGAGGGTGGAAGGAAAAAGGAATTAGAGTTTCGATTCGGAGATTCCCAGGGATGTGGGGTGTATGTGGGTCAGGCCTCGATGATGTTGAGTTTCTCGTTTTGCAGGTATCGAATGTACAGAAAGAGTCAAACGACCGGCTTCCCATCCCTTATCACAATATTCTCTGCACCAAATTACTTGGACGTCTACAATAACAAGGTGAGATGGCGTGAAAGAAATGCAATGAAATGATCATCCCGTTTTCTAATCACTCTTGTCTTTGATTGACAGGCGGCCGTCCTGAAATATGAGAACAACGTGATGAACATCCGCCAGTTCAACTGCTCGCCGCATCCGTACTGGTTGCCCAACTTCATGGACGTCTTCACGTGGTCCTTGCCGTTCGTCGGCGAGAAGGTCACCGAGATGCTCGTCAACGTCCTCAACATCTGCTCCGACGATGAGCTGGTCTCCGACGGAGACGACGCACTCGAAGAAGGTTCGTACTCATACCTCTGTATACCCCCACTAATTACACCGAAAGAATTGCGCGACGAAAGGAAGAAACGTAAAACAAGAATTACAAGCAACGAAAAAAAAATAAGAGAGTTCATCCAACAAGCGAACGTATATATATATATAAAAGGAAGAAGAAAAGTCGGCGCGAGAGGGAACATTAATTCCTCCTCCCTCGCTTTCTTAATAAGTGTTCTGATGGGCGGGGGGGTGAAGGGGGTGGTTAAAAGTGGAAGGAGAGGAGGAAGAGGCGCAGCTTGGAGGATGCAGAGACGTCCGCCGTGAATGGTTTATGCTCGACGTGTTTCCGCTTTGTTTTCCGCATTATGACTTCCATCGTTCGTCTTATATTAAATTTATCTTTAAATTCACTTTGCGCGCACAAATTGCGAGTAAACAAGGAAATGGCTGGGGCTTCCATCCTGCAAGCCGGGATACAACTACACATTTAGATGCAGAGTGCTTTCGTTCATCCACAAGACTTCATAAATTATTAAATAAAAACACTCCGCTTTGAACCGTAACATCTCTGATGGAATACGAAGCGATAATTATCGTTCCAATTAAGTCGATTGGCATCTTCTAATTGCATTCAAATTTACACAGAGTATTGATCATCTCGAATTATGTAATCAAGAGATATGGAAATACTTATTTATAAAGAAGATTTTCATAATTACAAGTACTAAATTCTAAAGTGCAAATCTTGAAATCGAAAAGTAAATTAATTTTCATAATATTAATGAAATTTTTGTCTTTTTAAATTCGTTTATTCATAAAACAATTTTCTATTAATTTCGTTAATAAAAAAGAAAATGGTAAATAATTATGAATATTTCAAATAATTCGGTTTTCAAACTATTGCAGCACGAAACAACCATGAGGATAAATTATGAAAATATAAAAACGAACTTGGTCAAATTTCACTTTTGAAAATCTAAAAATTCATCTAATATTTTGATCACACAATTCAAATTAAATAGTAAACTAATTGATAAATATGTGTACTACATTGTAGAAGTCGATTCAAGTACAAAGATAATTTTACCACTAATTTGATATTGAAGCATTTTTTAATTGATATTAATTACTAACAAAAATAGAAAACTTTTTAAATTATGAAGATACAATAATTGTTTTGTAGATAATTAATTTTTAAAAAATCGATGATAATTATTAATTCATTTTGTTAATAATTGAAGAACTAATAATTAATAAAAACTTAAAAACCGGTTATTAAAACCGGCGCATCCACCAATTTTATTGGGAAACAATTTTTATAAAATTTCTATTTTTAATGGTTAATACATTAGGAAATCATGATAATTTATTAATTTACGATTATGAAATTATACAAAGATGAGATCAGCGATGGAAGTTGCATAATGTTCTGCGTAGACAGCAAGCAATTAAATCATTCAGAAAAAAATTAAAAATATTATATATATATGTAATTGCAATTTCGGTTTCTTTCTTTCTTGTGCCGACTCAAAAAGTAACCCGACCGAACAAAGCGAACGCTTTTAATTACCACAAAATGTTTTTTTGTTTGTTTCTCTGTTCTGTTTCCTCCTTTGTCCCACGACACAAAATAACAATGCTACTTGGAACCGATCAGATGGTAAGGTTCAGATTTTTACAACACTCGTAATTATTATATATTATATTTCTTATCAGTTGCTTCGAGCCGTAGTGGTGGAAACTTTAGTTCTCTCTATATATATATATACATACATAATTATAATTATATAAATACTTATCGAATATGATTTCTCAATGCCTGACAAATTTTATTTTTTTTTTAATTTTGAAATTTTTTGGGCTAATTTCTGCGTCTTTTTTTTTTCAACGTCATTTTCTTTTAGTTTCCGTTTTGTCATAGTTTTTTTGTTGGTATTTGTTTAATTATTTATTTATTTTTTTACTCGTTTATTTATTTTTTTTTGTGTGTGGGGGGAAAAATAATGGATTTATCTAGTGAGTGAGCCCCGAGAATTAGATTTGTATTTGTTCGTAAACTTAAAAAAAAAACCCACCCCAAGTAGCATATCTTACTACTCTCTCTCTCTCTTTATACTTCTAAAGTTTGAACCAATGTATATTTATAACTGCAACAACAAAAAAAAGAATAAGCAACCCCAATTTTTCTATAAGAAACCCCCAAATTTTCTTTATCTTTTTTTTTTAATTGATAGATTTATTTAGTTTTCTCTTTTCTGACTTTTGTCTGATTTCTTTTATTATGCGTGGTTTAATGTGAGAGCACTGCATAAGTCTGCGGCACAAAATCTGAACGTTCTTTTTTTTCTTTTCTTTCTATATTTACAAAAAAAAGAATGCATTTGTTTTCTTTAAATAATTATATATATACGATCTCTCTTTTTTCGTCCTATCTCTATCTCTATATCTATATAAATATTTAATTACCACTTACATTCATCTCTTTGTGTTCTATGAATTGCATTTTTCTTTTCCATTCAATTTAATATCTAAAAAGAATCTTTGCAAACTAATTTTTTTTTTAAAGAAAAATTTTGGATTCTCAATAACTTTGATTGATTGATTGATGTTTTTTTTTATTATTACATATATATATACTTATGTTATTGTTACTTTTAATTTTCAATTCATGCACACGTATTTCGCTTATATTTTTCTCCTATATTCTGACACTTCTATTTTTCACTATTTATCTCTATATTCGGCTTGGATTCGCGCCCCTACACAGCGAAACAGGCAAAAATAGTTATTAAAAAACCTGGTAAGTTTTCACAGACATGCAGCTTGAAAATGAGGAGTTTTTTTTTTATATATATATATATAAATACATACAATTTGAAAAAAAAAACCGATCTATATATTATATAAAATTATTAATAACACTGCATTAATTGATATCTCATGACTTTTTTTTTATGAATTTTTGCGACAAGTTTTTTGGATCAAAAGTAAATAAATACTAAAGAAATAGTTGTAAAACGCATAGCAATAAATTCAAGAACACACTACACGCAACCTCGAGAGACTTTCTAATTGGCTGAATCTCAGTGAGCAAAGAATTTGAAAACAAAACAAAAAAAAAAAAAATGTGATTGCACACGGAAACTGGATTTGAAAACACACGTGTAAGAATCACGGATGTTGTTGCTTTTCCTTTAAACAACGCACGTTAATTTCTTGATTAGTTTGTTTATACATGAATTGAAAATGCAAACATTAATTTTTGTTAATTTTAATGAAATTATCCTATAAAGAATATATTGATGTGCGTTCTTTGAAGGAGGAAAACAATCTGATCCGAAAGTAACGAAATTTAGATTTCAATAGAAAAATTGATATAGTTTTTTTTTTAATTTATAATTTTCTTCTTTAATTATTTTTTTTTTACCTTTTTCGTCACACTCTACTCAAAATTATTCAACTATCCTCACTTGGAATTCGAAAGGACAAAACTAAATTTCGAGAAAATCCACCGCAATAAAATACTTCTCCGATACTTACTTATACCAGTTGTTTTTTTTACTTTATTTTCCTTTTGTTTCGATTTTGTTTTTTAATTTCTCTCTCTTTCTCTCTCTCTTTGGTTTCCTCCATACAAAAGTAGTCTTAGTTTTGACGTTTCACTATTTATTTCTGTATCTTATTCTCTACTTTTACTCTTTAAATTATTTTTTATTATTGAAACAATTAGTTTTTTATTATCCACTTTTTGATTTTTCTTTTCTTCAATTTTTTCTCTCTTTCTCTCTCTCTATATATATAAACTTAGATTTAGTAGGCTGTTTCCGATTATGTTTGATTTAGTTGAAAGCATGAAGCGTATACGAAATATTTACAAGATTCGATTATTATCGCATTTGCATTTTGTGTAGAAACTATATTTACTTTTTAAACTATTTGTTAATTTTCTCGTAGTGTACATACATACATTTAATCTAAGATTCATTTCTTTTCGTTAATTTACGTTTTGTGTTCAGTCTAGTGTAGTATTAGTAAAGTTTATTTGTCAGAAAACGAAAATTGGTGCCGCAAAAATTTGTACTAATCCAGAGTTAGTTTTATTTATTTTTTTAATTTTTTGGGTTTACCATTTTGTAGCTAAAGTAGTTTTTTGATTGGATCTAACGCGCTTTAATATCTATAATCATTAAAATTATTCGATTTACTTTGGATTGGCTTCAGTAGGCGACCAAATAGTAAACTAACGGATCCGTTAACTTCCAATTTAACCGATCTCGTTGGCTCTCGCAATATTTTTTTGGCCCAATTTTGATGTGTGTTTGTGTGTGTATTTATCACACTTTGTGTTTCTTTTCTTTTTTTAATTTAGTTCAATTATATATTTACGTGTTTTGTTTTTATTTTCAGTTGTTTTACGTTGGAGTAGATTTGTTTGTTAATGTTGTTGTTGTTTAATTTATGTTTTTCTTTTTTTTATTAATTGTAATTATTGTTTCGTTGATGTTCTTGGCTCCGTTATATAATTTTCTATATGCACCGTTTGTTTTGTTTTTTTGTTTCTATACTTCTGCGTTCGCTACATTTTGCGTCACTGCCGAAATTGCCGTTGGCCAAAATCTACTTTATATTTGACGATGATGGTGAACCTGAACAACTCCATCATTCGGTAAGTCCGTAGTTGAAGATTCTGTTGTTGGTTGAAATCAATGGTATAAACAAATATACATATGTATACAGGTTACACATCACTGACTAATTACTAACAATGAACCCATGTAGATAGCCTCGTTTCTCCTTCTTCTGCATGCTCTTTTCATTTCTGTCTTCTTCTACTTTTTTCTTCTAAAACTACTGTTAACAGTCAACAAAAAAAGTAATATACATAAATGGTAACATAGATTAGATGATCCCCATTTCATCTAGAGTACAATCACCATCAACATGTAATAAATAACATTTTCCTCTTGTTCTCTAAAAGGTAAATAGGTTTATTTGTTTCCCACTGTGCTTACGTTAAACGACTCAAAGAACATATACTAAAACCAAACTAATTAACTTACAAAAAAAAAACAACCCACATTGTTGATTGTGATGATGTTGATGCCAATTAATCGAGCCTTTACTGAATATTCTGTGTGATTCTTTTAGGTACAGCAGCTAATCTTCGGAAAGAGGTTATTCGCAATAAGATCAGGGCTATTGGAAAAATGGCTCGTGTGTTCTCTGTGTTGAGGTATGCAAATTTTATATTTTTGTTATCATTATTTTTGTTCATTTTTATAATTTCTAATTTGTTCGTTTAAGGGAGGAGAGTGAATCTGTTCTGCAACTTAAGGGTCTCACCCCGACCGGGGCTTTACCGTTGGGAGCCCTCTCAGGCGGAAAGACTAGTCTTAAGAACGGTAAGTTTCTTAATTATGAAATTTCTAAATTTGATTTTTGCAACATGATTGCGAACTTTTTTAGATAAAATATATGACTTTATCACTATAATATCACTATATTATGAATCTAATTAATTGAATCTAATGAATTTGTACAAAAGTACAAAAAATATCAATTTCTAGAAAGTTTACAAACTATTCTTATATGTATTTTAATTTGTTAATTATTGTTAGTTAAACCATATACTTGTAATAGTACAAAGCACTTGGAAAAGTGTCGTTTTTTATCGTTCTATTTTGATAGCTTTACAGCTGAATATCAGCAGGATATCCTGTAGATTGAGCTATGATCAAAGTGTATTTTTACGTTTGCTAATGGTCGGAAATATTAGTGTATAGGAATGTATTCCAATGAGTTGATAATTAATGTACGTTTTTTGTCTTGTTGTAGCATTGCAAGGATTCTCGCCGAATCATAAGATCACGAGCTTCGCAGAGGCGAAGGGTTTGGACGCCATAAACGAGCGGATGCCGCCTAGGAAGGATGCACCGTTGTCTCCGGTGGATGAGAAGCCGCAGGACCTTAACCATACCCAGTCTAATGCGCACTCGTGAGCTACACCGAACCAGTAGATCACGTCGTTAACCACAGGTTCTGACCCAAAACAAAAACACAAAAACCCATCATATTTTAAAAAAAAACCAACCGCCCCCACCCAACTAACATTTTTCTATTCACAAAACAAAAGAATATCACAAAAGAAAAAAAACAACAAAAACCAGGTCCAACTATTCTCTAATCTAGAAAATTTTGTTTTGGTTTGTTCTTGCAGTGCGCTGGTCTGTTCACCTTCTACATATTAACATCTATCTTAGCTTTTAGCCACATTTTGATCGTTGGGACGGCAGGCTCGTTCGAACAACAAAGTAGCTGGTCTGCTTCCTTCTTCTCTACCATATACATACATCTCTAATGTGTATATATATATATATATCTATATATATTCAACAACAAAGAAAAACAAAAAATCTCTTACTCTCTAATCTTCCCCGCACTGAGATCGGCATCGTTTTTATTTTGTGTGTGTGTTTGTGGCCGACCACTTCACCCGAAACGAAGAAGAAACGGGAACAAACCAACAACCTCAGCTACACCCAGGAGAATAAAGAAACAAAGATCGCTTGACAAAGAGAAATTGCGCTAAATCTTTACAACTTAACATAAAAAAGAAAAACCGAAGATGAATCAAAAGAAGAAGAGAGAGTATGGATTTTCAAATATGGACAACTTTGTTATATTTTTCGCGTGTTTTTTATTTTATTTTATTCTTTTGTTTATGTCTCTCTCTCTCTTTCTCTCTCTCTATCTTTTCGTTGTTGTTGAAGGTCCGAGATCACTCACGTTATATTTAATATTTCAAAAAAAAAAAAATTATATACATATTTATAAGAGAAAACAAAGGAATCGTTTGTTAACGTATGTCATTTGCGTGGGTTCCATTTAAAATTAAAAAAAATATATATATATTGAATGTAAACTGTGCACTTGAGCGACTTCAAAGTTTCGTTTACGATCAAGGAAGGTTTACTTCTTCACTTCGTTACGTACAATGTTATGTATATATCGATGATGATGATGTGTGCGTTTCGATTTTGTTTCTTCGGAACTGTCTTTCGTTTGTTTTCTTTTATTTTGTTTTTTTTTGGGAGAAGTGCGATTATTATTTATTTTAATTATGTTTTCTTATGCATATATATACACACACACATATATTTATATCGAATTATGTGAAAATTGTTGTTACTTATTACTATTATTATTTTACTTTCTCTATCTCTGGTTAAAGCTTGATATATATATATGATAAATAAATAATAAAAAAAAAATGTAAGGAAAAAAGGCATCATAATAATGAGAACTAACTAAATTAGTAAATAATAATAATGAAAGAAAAGAAATGTGGTAGTGGTAGGTATGTGTAGTAAAAGGTGTGCAGGACGGGGTTTACAAGGACTTCATCATATATACATATGTTTAATTTTTTGTTTTGTTTTGGTTGCACGAGTGATAATGTGCCATACCACACCTATCGATCATCATAATCATCACTGAAGCCATGTTATTTTCGTCTTTTGTTTTATATACGATTATGATTTGTTTCTTTTCACTTCCTAACACCTCCCCCCCACCCTTTACTCCCAATTCCTCTATATATTATATACGATTCTCTAACCTGATTTCCTCTGTACATCATCGCCATCATCATGATCACGCCATAAAATACGATCGTAGCCATAATCAATCATCCCTCTATCATCGTCCACTGTGTGTGTTATTATTATAATAATATGAAGATGAAGAAGAAGAAGAAGAAAAAAAATTAAGGAAAATTTAATTTAAATTCGATAATTATTATTAAGATATTGCTACATATTATATGAAGATGAAGAAGAAAAAAAAACATGGATTTAACAAACAAAAAAAAAAATATATATATAAATAAAATAATTAATTAACATTTAAAGAAAAAAAAAAGATGATTAAATAAATGAAAAAAACAAGTGTTTACCGAATTAAGCGGTAATAAGGATAAGGAATAATGATAAGCATAAGTAATGATAATGATACGTTTTAAGACATTGTAATTGTAAACGTTTTTTTCTTTCCTCTCTTCGAAAGCAAAACAAAATATATATGATATATATATATAATGACAATTCTATATCTAAACTAAAAGGAAAACAACTAATTTATATTTCGATTTATATTTAATAATGGAAATTAATCCAAAAAAACAAACATGTTACAGAACTATACATATATGGAAAGTTTAGAAGGATATATTATATATATATATATGTGTGTACGTTTTGAGACGAAAGAAAAATATTTAAAAAAAAAGATAAAAAAAATAATACAACACATCTTTGCTACATGCTGTACTTATATTTATATATATACATACATAAAATTGAATGTAATAATTGTTAAGGTTTTACGTTTATTTCGTTTCTCCTCTTTTCATTCTATCTATATATATATATCTATTATCTCTCTCTACATATATATATATAACTACCTTACTTACTATCGATCTATCTCTAGTGATTGTACAAATTGTGTTATGTAAATGTAATATATATGATTGTTTTTTGTGTTCGTTCTTTTCGTTTTTCGATTATTGTATTGTTGCTCGGACGGGGAAGGTTTTCGCTTTGTTTCTCTCTCTTTTTTGTTTTGTCGGCGCGTTCTCCGTTGTTTCCTTGGACAGTCGCCGCCCACGATCCGCCCCTATTAATTGCAGCCAATCGGCACGTCCTGGAAAGGAAACGAAAGAAGAAAAAACGAGAAGAACCGCCCCCCTTTTCCCTCCCTTAACTATTCCTAAATTTCTATCGATTTGTTGTATGCATGTGTTACATTGATGAATATTTTGTTGTGTGCAAGTGAGTGTTACAAATTATACATATATATATATATATTATACAAGAAATATCTAATTATTCTGTAAATTAATGATATAATATATTATACATATTAATGATTATGGATATATAGTTAATTACATTTTAGCGAAAATTTGGAGTGGGCGAGGATAATGCATGCGGTGTGTGTGTATATAAGAATTAACATTGAAATATCAAAGTTTTAGCACGTCCTTTTTTTATGTCTATATGCACATACATACGCAGCATGTCAACGCCTATTCGTGCAAATTTTCTAAATCTTCGTTTCCCGAAATCTTCATGAAATTCTTAGAAGAAAATTTTTAGATTTTTTTTTGTGTGTGTGTGCGAAACGGTGGTTTTTCCTCGTCGCCGTTAATCATTTCGTTCGTTGAAATTAATCTAGGACCCTCCGAGAATCCATCGTAGGTAGCTCCTCCCTCCTGTTTCTTTCCACGCCTACACGATCCGACGTCGACATCCCACGAAATCCCTTAGTTTTATCTTAAAACCAATTTCTGTTCTGTTCGTGTCTCCCCATGATTTGCAACCAGACTGTGGTATAACTAAGCAATAAGACTTTGTAATGTGTATAAGTGTGTGTGTCTAATAATATTTCTATAATAGCTAAGAACAATCTCTTCGCCACGCCCACCACCACCCCCAAAAACAGTAAACGTCAGGGGGGTCGGAGTAGGTGGCGACGACGACGAGGAAACACCGCCCACCGCAAAAACACCTCCTCCTTCAGTTTTTTTCTCTTTCTCTCTCTCAGTTTATTCACGACTCTCGACTGAAGACAATTTTTTTTCCTCTATTTTGTTATTGTTGTTGTTGTAGTAATTAATCCACTAGTAATTTGTTATGAATACGCATGTACGTGTATAATTATATGACCCTTCCCATGCAAATCGGGCGCTTTGACTTGACTTAAGCCAACCAAAAAAAAATGTATAAATATTATATATATAAATTTAAAAAAAAAATCTATTTGCCTTCATACTTCCTAAAACATATTATTATGATTATATGGTTATTATATAAATATATATTGAAGAAAAAAAACTTGATACGATACAAAAAGAAAATGACAAAAAAAAAATTAATAATAATGCACTGAAGTATTGGGATGTTAGACTTTTAATACTTTAGTACTACTATCACACACTTTCAGTCACTTTCAGGCAGCGAGTGACGGTTTTAATATAACATAATAACGTGAAAAACAAATGAATTATAAATATATATATAAATAAATTGTAAGTGAATGTGGGAGGGGACGACTCCTCATTGGTGGAATCCTCTCTGACACGCCCCTAGATTTAGTTGAATGTTTTTAAATTATTATTATTATAACTATATATATATATATACATATTTTAAAGATGGCGCGCGTGAAAGGAAGCAAATATATATATATATATATATAATCTAGTCGTTGGTATATATTCATATCAATCGATTTTTTTTGTGCACATTTCAAAATAAAAAAAAAATAAGCGAAGTTTGTTGTTTCTTTTTTTTGTTTCTTGTGGCGGTCGTTTTGCATATGTGTATATATATATATATGAATCTGTGATCGCCTTGCGTTTTCTGTTTCTACTCTGTATATCTCCACTACATCTTCTTCTACTTGACTACTTGTAACAGGCATTATTATGGCGGTTCGTTTCATACAAAGAAATATATACATAATGATGTTATCTTTAATTATTATATTCTATACATTTCAACATTGTACTGGATATTTTTCATTTGTGTTCTTAATTAAATACTATACATGAATATAATTGCCTTCACATTCTTTAATTTAATTCTCCATCCAACTGTATACACACTAAAACTCATCTCAAAACTAAATTGAATCATAAATTCATATAGATAATTCAAACAATTTTAAAGTAATTATACTAATAACGCATTCCGCTAGATGTCGCCTCAACGTGCTTTTTAATCATTCATAATTTCGTTAATAATATTCACTAAAATTGAATTAAAGCATAGAAATTATGTCTAATTTATGAATATTCATTTCAATGTGTAAGAATTTGCAATTAAATCTCTAATTAGCAATACAACATTGGAACAGCGCCGAAATTGCTGAACTAAAACTTGTTTTGAATACAGATAGATGGCACAGAATGACACATCTTTGATTAAAAACAAAATTAGTTAAGATTTTGGTTTAATTATTAATATAATTCGACTTAATTTTCTAAAACTATAGTTTAGTCAATATTTTGTTACATACAATTGTTGGCCATCTCTTGGTTAGTTTCCAAAGTTTATAGTTCAACCATTTTGGCGTTGATCTACTTTATTTATGCTTATTTCCAATTTACCAAACAAATTAGGAGAAAATTGGTATTGTTTTATTTAAAAAAAAACTTTTAACTTTATAAAAGGGAATATATAATTGTAAAAGTTAATAACTGTACACATTTTATTATATAAAAGCTTAACAGCTAGTTTTAAAATACGTGTATATTTAAATGGATAAGAAAAACTTGATTTTGTAGAGGTAGAATGAGACCAAGACCCAAAGACTGGTAGCCCAGACGTTCTTCAACAGCAGCCAGAAATGCGTAGAATTCTCGTGGTCGTGAGAAACGTACCAATGAAAAGGGAAATTGGTGTGTATGAGACTGTGACCAACGTAGAGAAAAATTGCGTTCATCCCAGCAAAGAGGAAAGGTTTTCCAGTCCAGAATTTGAGAACGTCGATGATCAAGTAGCATGCACTCAACACTATGTAAGCTATGCAAGTGGTCACGAAGACGAACGATAAAGACCATAAATTCTTGTTGACTGGAATCAATCCATCGTCTTTGCTGAAGTTGCAAAGCAAACCACCGATGATTCCAGAGATCGCAGCCCAAACAAGCCAAAGAGCCAAGCGACGTTTGTGGCCTTTGTGCGCTTGCAAAATAGCTCCGGCTTGAACGCCCAGAAAGACGTGGAAGATCGAAGGAAGACATCCTAGAAATAACGAATTAAAAAATTTCGTTTTTGTTAACTGAATCATTTACCTAAAATTCCTTCCGGATCGTGCGGTAAAGCCTGATACACGTTTATGATTTCGGCGCGCTGATAAACGTGTTTGCCCAAAATCAATCTGTCGATGTAACCTGTTGCGCCTCCGGTGCAATTAAAATGCGTTCCGTTATCATGGTAACCGCCAGGTCCCAGATAAAACCTGAAGCCAACAAAATTAGTAATTAATTCATAGAAATAAGCCTGACTTAATCGATTTTATCTTACGCTTCGCATCCGGGCTCTTGGAGGAAAACTAGGATTAGGATGTAGGCTGAGAGGAGGATCAGCATGAAAATCCATTGGTATTTCACGCTCAAGATATACTTGAAACGTCTGGACCATACGTTCTGAAAATTATTTAAACTTTATAGACTGCACTAAGTGAAATGTTGTATTTACATTCGATGTGGAATTGTCAGGTTTAGCTTCGAAAAGGCAAACGGTTGCCACGACGAAATAGCAGATTCCGAAACGTTGAAGCACTCCGAACACTCGAAGAGTGTCGAGGTAACGACCGGCGTTCAGGAACAATCCCAACGCGAAGAGAATGCAAGATCTCTACAAAACAAGACTCATTTATTTAATAATTTAGTTAAATTTAATCTCACTCACTCTGAAGATGTTTAAGAAAATCTTAGGTTTGGGAATGGATTTTTTCATTGCAGATTTCATGGCGATCGGCACGCAAACGCCCATGATCCACATGAAGCAAGGAAAGACGAGATCCGCGACGGTCAATCCGTTCCAAACCGCGTGCTCTATAAACTCGTACGAACCGTGACCATAATTCACGAAGATCATCAGCACTATGCACATCCTACAAAGACAAAAAAAGTACAATTTTTTTTAAACACAATGATTCCAATAAGTTTTACCCTCTGAAAGTGTCAAGAGATTTGAGCCTACTCTTAGATTTCGCTTTTTCCTCGACCGCAGCTGCAGGTAAATCAGATCTCTTCAATTTGTAACGTTTCCAAAGGAATTTCCCGATCGGTATTAGAAGAAATATGCAGGCGAATATCAGGAAAACGGTGAGGATCGCTGAAATTACTTGAGGTAAACCGTGAAAGTAAAGTTTACATCGATGGTGTTACGGAAATATATGTTCACTGGTTCTTTGAGCGTTTTCACTTCGATGAGATGTGGTAGATGGTCGAATTTGTAAACGCCGAATTCTTTGAGCGTGCGGAATTCTTGGTAGATCGGGACGTCATCGTCGAGTCCGCGTATCTTGTAGTACTTGTCGTGCGCCGTGTTGATTATAAAGGTTTTCGGAACGCCTTTGTAGATGGGCTCATCGGATTCTGGTAGAAGAGGACACTGAACAGAATTAGATTGTTAATTTTGGAATGTGTTTGTATTTGAATTAATTGTCTCACCGCTTCGCACTCGACGAATCTGCTATGTAGATAGAGCTCTCCCTCGTAGACTTGGTTGTCCACTGTTAAGTAACAATCGTCCATTCTTAACTTGGACATGTTGTACTCTCCGAGGAACATCTCCTCTCCGTACGATTCCAGCCATTCTCCCATTCTACTTACAAATGATTTCAATGATCTAACATTATGGACTATATTCAGCGAACAATTACTATTTTATCTGGATTCAAGTACTTTCATATAGATAGGAAAATAATCGTCGTGTTTCCCGTCACCTGTTTGCATACTTTGTTATTATCAAATTTTAAAAGATTCTCATTGATTTAATCTAATTAAATATAAATTATTTGTAAAAACTTGAAATTCTTTATACTTTTAGTATAGTTTTTTTGTATTTCTTTATTAAATTAGACTTGGTTATTTAGAATGTTTTTGATACCTGCAGCTAACTTCACACATTAACAAACGTTATATAATAAAGGATAGGTTTTTCAAAGCGTTTCTGCATATGTTTAGAAACGATTTGTTGAAATCATCGTTTAGATTTTGCTTAACTTGAGCAAGATTGATGGATCAACGATTGTCTCACCTGTCTGTTTGGAAGTCGGAATGTCGTCGAGGCCACGCGACGAACGCGACTGAATTTATTCAGTAATTTGGTGAGCTACGAAATGCAATTAAATAACGCTCCAACCAAATGGAACTTGATCTAGGTCATCATGCACTTTACTTACTTACTGCTCGCTTTCACTGTTCAATAACAAACAAAAAAAGTGGAATTACCGATGACATAGAACGACCACGCGTTGTATAAATATGCCATTTAATAACAGGTTGTTGTTGTTGTTGATATTTTCAATTTAATTTATTTCATTCATTTCGTACTTTATTCTGAGACACATTTATCACGATAATACGTCCTTTCTTTCTTTCTTTCTTTCTGTCCGTGTGTACACAAATCGCACCACGAGGAATCTACGCAAAGAGAGACCCATTATTCAACCATTCCAAGTAATTTGATTTGGAACGAAGTGGAAAGTGAGAGAGGTGACAATTAGTGGAGGCCGGAGGCGCGCCGGAACATCATCGACTACTTCCTGCAAAACCGCCAACACCATCATCACCAACCATTTCCCATCCCAGCCGTCCCAGAGTTTCCGCTCAAGTTCAGAAATGGCTTTCATCTCGTCATTAGGCCTCTGGCCGTAATTAAAATCTTAATTAAAATGTACAAAGAAGTCGGTGTACGAAGAAAACGGAGGAATCAAGACAGAAAATGAAAAAAATGAAAACGGTAAAATGATTGTTCTTCTTCTCTTGTTTTCTTTTGTGGTCTGATGATTGCGCGTCTTATGGTAAGTCGAAGTCGCGCTGAACGTGATGATGCTGCAGATCGACCATCCTCCCGATCTGAAACGACAGTTAAACACAACTTTATCAATTCTCCGGTTTATTTACGACTGTTTGATGATGCTATTTGCTAAGATTATTACGAGCTAACTGGGAACTATAATGCCCAGTTGTTACATAGTAATCTTAACTATAATATCCACAGTATTTAATGGATAGTTCGATGCTAATTTTAGAGAATTATGCAAATAAACGTGATTCAATGTAATATGAATAATTCTTAAGAAGTTGTGTTGAAACTAAAAGTTTTTATCTCAAGAATAAAGAAGCTGTAAAATGAATTACGAGTTTGGAAAACTTGCATCATTACATAATAATATATTACATAATTATATCAGTTTTCATTGTCATTAATAATTAAATAGTATTTCGTATTATCTACAGTATTTTCGTTCATTACTATTACGTTTTATTACTATTTTGTTATTAATAATTGAATGTAAATAAAAATTGAGAAGTTGCGTTGAGACTAAAAGTTTTTTTTTATCTGAATAAGAAAGATGAATTATGGGGTTTCATAAAACTTACGATTTGTTCTTCTGGGCAGACGTGCGCTGTTAATCCGTTGGTGGGTGGCATCCTGCTAGGAGGAAGTGGAGGATGAGTGGGTATATCCAAGGTGGCTGCAACGTACGTAGCGCCCGGAAGACATTTGGAGCATTGCCTTCGAAGGGCCGGACGTTGCCGCGAACCTCGACATCGAAGGGCGAAGCACAGTTCTCCACCCATTTCCGCGCAAAGAGATTGATGGGGCGCCGTCGACGATCTCTGCACGCCAACAAAATCTATATTACTCTCTCTCTACTCTACTTTCAGTAATCCAAAAGATGAAGTGTTAACACACGTTAAATCGCTTCATTAAATACTTCATTTACAACAGATTTGTTCATGAGTTTAAAATTTTGAATGTACCTTTTCGGTGAGAGCGTTTTTCTTGGAGTTGTAGCAAAACTCGAAGATAGCTACGATTACGGCGAAAGCTAGTCCGCAGAGAAGTACGACGAAAACGCCTCCAATATTATCCACTCCCAGCGAATTCGCCTTCGACTCTTTCCCTTTCTCGTTCCTCGTGCAAGTATCTCCAGAGTTCTTCCACCATTTATCGTACAGCATCTGAATCTCCCCTTTCTCCTGCAGCTCGAGTATAGCCAGAGAAATCTTATCCCTCCAAGGACTTCCCATGGGCGTCGCGATGCCGTATCCCTTGGAATCCAACAATCCCCCGATTTGCGTCAGATTGCAATCCCTCTGAACGATGTAGTCGAGCATCGTGGACTCCATCAAGAACGCGTAATTCCCTTCGAGCACCTTCTGGATGCCCTCCTCGTAGGTGGGAACGAAAACCGAAGGTTTCCTGTTCTCCATGAACCGCCACATCTTCTTGTACGTCTCGATCATCGAATCCTGAAACGAACTGAAATGACTATCATCCAAACGTTCAGCGAACAGACCTGATTACCCTGAAGAACGTCATCGTCGATCCGCTCTCCAAAGTCCCGTAAGGAATATCCGTTTGTCCGGCCAAATCTTCGGCGTTTTCTATAGGCGTTATCATCCGTTCCACCGTTAGGAAGGCGGCCAAATTCGCCGTGTACGAGGAGATTATGATTAGAGTGAAAAACCACCAGATACCGCCGACGATGCGGGTCGACGTTGCCTGAATTAAATTTCATCATCCGATTAAAACGCAAGGATTTGCGCGACACAAGAAAAAAGAACATATACACACAAACACACACATACACAGGGATGATAATAAATTGAAAGACGGGTTTTGCAGTGAGATAGAGAAGATATATGCGATCTACTTATTTTTGTCATCGAATTTATGTTCTCCACACCGAAAACACGATACAGCAAACGAATGATGCATCGCCCTCCCTCGGCCCGCCTTCATTTGATAGAGACAACATAAATAACGGCGGGTGAACATTAAGAAATCCCATTACTTGCAAATCGCTCGACAAAAGGGAATAGGGACAAAAAAAAATAAATACACAGAAACATCGCGAAAGAATAATAAAAGTAAGAGTGAACTGTGTGAAAGGGCGGATTTTTTTTTTTGGATAACACGCTCGCACCTATTTATATTCGTATTCATAGGTCGTGCACAGTTTGCACCAATTTGCAACGACGTCACGAAATAAGCACCCAATTTATTCGATGTTTATCGTTAGTTTGTGTATTTTTCATGTTGTTACTGTATCATGCATGCTGTTGATGTTTTGGACGCGCATGCATTTCCGTGTAAATACGACAAATAACGTAAACGGGGAATATTTCGGGGGGCTGCAAACCATGCAATACATATAGAAGACAAGCCAATTTCGGTGGGGAAATAATGAGAGAAAATCAAAAAGAAGGAAACATGAATATGCATGGATAGAGTGATGTAATCGATAATGGAGTTCCTTGAATGCAAATGTTTTAAGCTACTTCTGACATGGTAAAGTTCGTTATATAAACACAACTAATCGCACCGAAAGTTCTAAATGGTTTAATCTATTCGTGCAAAACTAATCAAAGATGTTCATAGATATTCAGTGGAAAGTGAAACCGTATTTTAATTATCTTAAACTTTATTAACTATTTAAATTTCTAAAAATAATTCTTCAAAACTTTGCATATTAGTTTGTAAAATACGGTGTAACTTTCCAATGGTGATAGAGTTGATTTTGTGTGTTTGATGTGATTATAAATGTGTGTGCTTATTTCATAGAATAGATTGGTGGTGACGATGGTTACCTTGGGATTGAGATCGGAACCTTGTTGCATCAAAGTGCCGATGGTGAACCAGAAGGAATTGGACATTGAGAATTGGTTTTCGACGGTCTCGTTCTCCACCTCGCACGGATGCGGATTCTGCCATTCGTACGGCGAGAATCTGGCTACAACGAACATCGTGATCGAGACGAGAACGTACGCGGAGAGCACGTACAGCCAAATGTCCATCGCCAGAGGATTCATGAACGAGAACAAACGCGTCTGCTGGCTGGTGGGCACCTGGCAAAGAGAGAGATAGAGAGAGAGAGCAAACTTTTCGATAAAGATGAAGAGATAGAGAATTGAGCTTCATCATTCATGTACGCAATGGGATTTGCTCAAGGTTCACCAAGCCTCCGTTTCGGGCCTGGTTTACCTGAGGATTGACTCCAGAGCATTGACGCAGCAGCGTTCCCGCTACGAACCAGAAGCTGTTCGCCATGTCGAAGCGATTCTCCAAGCACCTCTTCGTCTCCCACGGTCTCGGATTGACCCATTCGTACGGCGTGAATCTAGCTAAGGAGAAGAGCGTGAAGCCGGCCATGAAGAAGGCGCCGATCACGAACACCCAGATGTCGAAGCCGAGCGGATTCAGGAACTTGAAAAACGCCGACTCCTTGTCCGTCGGCACCTGAACCATTTTCAATTACCATATTTTTTCTTTCTTTTTCTCTTCACGCTCCTTCAAGGGATTTATGTACGTTATAGACTGGGTGGAAACCCATTATCACCTACCTTGAAGAGGATGCTTATGCCGAGGTTCATGAACGGCTTCGTGAAGTCGATCACACTCTCCCTGGCGTAGTTTATAGTCATCGATCCGACGGCCAGATCCGCCTTCTGCGAATTCCAATCAATTCCACACATCAATTGAATAGTATTTATATATTGGAAATTAATCGAGACGATTAAAAAGCCAAACGCAATATCGATTCGCAAAATAGCCTTCAGAAAAATACACTCAAACCCAATTACGAAAGTCTGCAAACTTTTAGTCAACAACAAGTGGATGTAACAACAATAATTGAGCTCATTCAAAATAAGAGCAAACCCATTTACGTGCATTCTAACAAAATATTAAATATTTAGTATTGGAAATTATTAATATAATGTGAGTAGATTTTACTAGATTTTGAAAAAATAAAATAAAATTTAAAGATTGTTACGCAATAACCAATAGAATACATATTTTATACCATATACTTTTAGCTTCAATTAGCATATGCAATCTTTAATATGTCCTTAATAGTTTTTGAAAAAAAAATCTAAAATTTAAAGAAACTTCTTTTTCGAAATATACAAATATTTTATCAACTTGTTACACAATAACCAATGGAAATAGAATTAATCTTTTACACCTATTTTATACTATATACTTTTAATACTTTTCAATTATCATATTCAATATTTGATCTGTTATTGTTAGTTTTTGAAAAAAATACTAAAATTTAAAGACACTTCTGTTTCGAAATATACAAATATTTGTTCAATTTTATCAACTTGTT